ATCAGTATTTTATTGAGTATTTTTGTATCAGTGTTCATGAGGGATATTGGTCTGTAGTTTTCTTTCTTAGTTGTGTCTTTCTATTTCATTAGGGTCTGTTTAAGTTGCTTATCTGTTCTTGATTCAATTTTTGTAAGTGATATCTGTCCAGAAAATTGTCCATTACCTTTCCTTTAAATTTTCCAATTTTGTAGAGTACAGGTTTTCAAAGTATGACCTGAAGATTCTCTTCCTCAGTTTGCATTGTTATGTCCCCCTTTTCATTTCTGATTTTGTTAATTTGCATGTTCTCTCTCTGCCTTTTGGTTAGTTTGGGTAAAGGTTTGTCTATCTTGTTGATTTTCTCAAAAAACCAACTCTTTGTTACAATGATTGTTTGGATTATTTTCTTTGTTTCTACTTTATCACCCTCAATTTGATCATTTCCTGGTGTCTACCTCCCCCCACCCCTTCCCCGTGAGTTCGCTTCTTTTTGTTCTAGAGCTTTCAGTTGTGCTGTTAATTCTCTAGTGTGACTGTTCTTCATTTTTTTCATTGTGGGCATTTTGTGCTATGAACTTTCCTCCTAGCATTGCTTTCAAAGTGTCCCACAAGTTTGGGGATGTTGTGTCTTCATTTTCATTGAATTCTAGGAAGTCTTTAATTTCTTTGTTTCTTCCTTGACCCAGGAGTGTTGCGATTGCTCTTTGTTCAATTTCCATGGGTTTGTAGAGTTTCTGCAATTTGTGTTGTTGTTGAATTCTAACTTTAAACCATGGTGGTCTGATAAGATACAGGGGTTATTCCAATTTTTTTGTATCTGTTGAGGTTTGCTATGTTGCTGAGTATGTGATCGATTTTAGAGAAGGTTCCATGTGGCGCTGAGAAGAAGGTATATTTTTTTGTGTTTGTATGGAATGTTCTATAGATGTCTGTTAAACCCAATTGGGTCATAACTTCTGTTAGTTCTTTGGTTTCTTTGTTAAGTTTCTGTCTGGTGGTCCTGTCTAGTGGTGTGAGTAGGGTGTTGAAGTCTCCTATTATAAATGTGTGAAGTTTTATGTGTGATTTGAGTTTTAGAAATGTTTCTTTTATGAACGTGGGTGCCTTTGTATTTGGTGTATAGATGTTCACAATTGAGATTTCATCCTGATGGATTTTTCCTGTGATGAATATGAAATGACCTTTTTCATCTCTTTTGATTGATTTTAGTTTGAAATATAATTTGTTAGATATTAGGATAGCTACACCAGCTTGTTACTTGGGTCCATTTGATTGGAAGATCTTTTCCCAACCCTTTACTCTGAGGTACTGTCTGTCTTTGAAGTGGAGGTGTGTTTCTTGTTTGCATTTTGATGGATTCTGTCTTTGTATCCATTCTGTTATCCTGTGTCTTTTTATAGGCGGTTAAGACCATTAATATTGAAGGATATTAATGACTGATTGTTCATTCTTGTTTGTTTTGGATTTGGTGGTGGTGGTGGAATTGTGTGTGGATTTCTACCCTATTTTTCTTTTTGCTGTTGCTAAAGTGGGATTATCTATTTCCTATGTTTTTTGGTTGTAGTTAACTTTCTTGGGTTGGAGTTTTCCTTCCATAACTTTCTGTCGTGCTTGATGAGTTGATAGTGATTGTTTAAATCTGGTTTTGTCGTGGAATATCTTGTTTTCTCCATCTATGGTGATTGAAAGCTTTGCTGGGTATAGTAGTATCTTAGTGTTTGTAGAATATCAATCCAGGTCCTTCTGACTTTCAGAGTTTCCATGGAGAAGTCAGGTGTAATTCTGATAGGTTTGCCTTTATATTTTACTTGGCCTTTTTCCTTTGCTGCTCTTAATAGTCTTTGTTTATTCTGTATGTTTGGTGTTTTGATTATTATGTGGCGAGAGGACTTTTTTGTGGTCCACTCTATTTGGTGTTCTGTAGGCCTCTTGTTCTTTCATTGGCATGTCTTTCTTTAGGTTGGGAAAGTTTTCTACTATGATATTGTTGAATATATTTTCTGCACCTTTGAGTTGGGTTTTTTCACCTTCTTCTATACCTATTATTCTTAGGTTTGGCCTTTTCATGGTGTCCCATATTTCCTGGGTATTTTGTGTTAGGGATTTATGGGACTTAAGATTTTCTTTGGTCGATGAATCTATTTCTCCTAGTGTATCTTCAACGCCTGAGATTCTGTCTGCCATCTCTTGTATTCTGTTGGTTATGCTTGCATCTGTAGTTCTCTAATTCCAGCATTTCCTCAGACTCTGTTTTTTTGTTTTTTTTTTGTTTTTGTTTTTGTTTTTTGTCTCTATTTCTGCTTTCAAACCATGCACTGTTTGAATTGTTTCTTGCAATTTTTGGTTTGTCTTTTCCTCCATTTCATGAATTTTTTGTTTTTTCTTCCATTTCTTTAAAGTATTTTCTCATTTCCTCTTTTAGGGTCTCTATCATCTTCATGAAGTTGTTTTTAAGGTTGTTCTCTTCGTCTTCATCTGTGTTGGGATGTTCAGGTCTTGCTGGTGTAGAGTCCCTAGACTCTGGTGGCATCATATTGGTTTTTCTGTTGTGAATGTGCTTTTATATTGTCGTCTTCCCATCCTTTCTTCCAGTGGGTGTAGGTGGGGTCTCTTCCTCTCGTGGTGGGTACGGGTCCAAGGGTCTCTTCTGGTGGGTGCAAGCAGGTCCAACACTCTGATGGGTCTCATGGTGGGTGTAGGTGAGTCTGAGACAGTCCCTCTCCTGGTGGGTGGGGGAGGGACTAGCACAGTGATGTCAGCAGACTCTGGATTGCTCTGTCTGCTGGGGGGAGTAGACCTGCTATAGTCCACAGGCCAGGAGATCCCAAAGTGGACAAGCAGAAGTTGGGCCTGAGACAGGGGCCCAGGCTCACCTCTCCCCTGAGCTGGGGGGGCGGGACCCTAGATAGGGAAATTAAAGCCATTGTCATTTGATGGTCGTCTGATTATGTCCCTGTAACTTTCACAAGTCTGCCACAGGGGTCTACTTAGCAGCTTTACCAATGCCGGGAGGCATCCAGATCGCTGGGAAGACCCCCAGTGATGGCTCCTATGAGCAGCACATCTCTCACATGCAGAAGAAAATAAACGACACAATTGCCAAAAACAAAGAACTGTATGAAATCAACCCTCCGGTAAGTGAGTAAGTGAGTGGCGCCACGTGGTGGATGTGCCAGCCCCGGTCAGATGTAGCGTATGGCGGGTATCTTTCACTGGACACAAAAGTTTGCCATCCCCTCCCCTGCTGTCTTTCCTTGGGATGTGACTCCTCTGGCATTGAGTACAGAAAGTGCAGCTGTCCTTTCAAGTTTTGCTTTTTGTCACTTACTGTTTCCTGTGATACCATGTGTGTGTGCCTCTACATGTATGCGTGCCTATGTTCACAAGCCTGACTTGTGTGCACACCCAAAGGTTTTTTTGTTTTTGTTTTTGTTTTTGTTTTTTGAGACAGGGTTTCTCCGTATAACTTTGGAGGCTATCCTGGAACTCGCTCTGGAGACCAGGCTGGCCTGGAACTCACAGAGATCCACCTGCCTCTGCCTTCCGAGTGCTGGGATTAAAGGCGTGTGCCACCAACACCCGGCTTAACACCCAAAGGTTTTAAACTTTTTTCTCCTGCCTGCTGTGACCTGTAGAGTAAAACTCCATTACAGCTCTATTTCTTGATGTAGAAAGGTCTCCTTACAATAATAGCCTGTCTGTAAATATTTATTAAATGGTTATAATGCACCTTTTTTGGCTGGCATATTGACTAACGTCTGTAATCCCAGTACTTGGGAAGCTGAGGCAGAACAAGTGCTGTGTGTTCGAGGCCAGCCTGGGCTGCAGTGAGACCCTTTTCTGAGAGAGAAAGGATCCTTTTTAGTGCAAAAGATCACTTAATGATGAGAGTGCAGTGCAGTAGCGGGGATGCGTCGTGACTGCTCCTTCTCCCAGGTTGCTCACCGTCCTTGCCATAGTTGAGCTGTTTGCACACTGCAGGTGCCTTCAGCCATAGTCTGAATTAAAAGAAACAGGCTGCAGTGACAATTAAACTATCTCTTTATGAGTTTCAGATGATAACTACTTCTAAAGAGGGGTTTTAATACTTTCATACATAGTTCTAGTTTGGGCTGATCCTTTCAAATACTGCCTCAGAATTCTGCCTTCACCTTAGCTCTTGCCATGTTCTTGGAGCAAAGTGGTGAAGCTGACTGAGGGCTCAGGGATCTGATGGGAACTGGGAAGCTCAGTGTGGGAGCCCCCGGGTCCTTGGTACCCACTAGCTTGAATTGGGATTTGCTTTAATTATAAAATACATTTTGAAAACAGTATAAAAATGGTGTAAAATGTCTCACCAGTGTTTTTATTTTAGTTATATGTAATAATGAATAAGAAAAATTTCCATTAAAATTAGTTCTATTTTTTCTTTATTATCTGTGTCACTTGCCTTGTGTTTCTGTTGCACAATAACTTGAAACTTAAAAACAATGAAATGCTGATGTGTTACTATACTAATATCTGAAAAACAGTGTTTTACAAAGCTCTCATAGCCTTTGCTAAATAAATGTTTGTATTGATTGTTTTCCTTTTATAGTAGTATTTTGGTCTTTGAACAGGCATTTACAGTGTTTATGCCTTTTGGGTTCAATAAAGCTACACTGGAGCTCTGTGTAGTTTCTCTTTGTTGGTTCCAGTGTTGTCAGCTGCTCTTTAAGTGTTTACTGTCTGTGTTACTCCGTGCTGATCGCCCTTAGAAGAGACATTCCTTCATGTGCTCTGAGCCACACTGCTTGCCAAGTGTTGCTGAAATCCATTTACATGTCTGTCTCCCGCTACCATGATGTATGCATCATCACTCTCATCTGCATTCAGCCAATCAGACAGAAAATACTTAAAATTACCGAGCAGGTTCATGCTCCGTGACTTGTCATTAGTCCAGAAACAACCCAGTGTAGCAATTGTCTCCACAGCTTCAACTCATGCAGTCTAGCCTGGCCATCTAGCTCAGGGGAGAACACAGGCCTAGAGTGACGTAGGCCCTAGATCTGATCTCCTACAGAATAACTCAAGCATACGCACAGCGAACTATGTGTAAGTTATGTGCAGATTCTATGCCATTTTTGAAGCCTGCATAGGCACCCAGAGACTTTAATATCCATGGGGTCTTGGAACCAGTACCATGTGAATCCTGAGGGATGGTTGTGAGCACCCCTAGAAGACAGATACTTAATAAGAATACAAACTAAGTTACTTTACCTAGTAAACACTGAGTTGCTTTTCCTTTCACACAACTTAGGTTTTTGAGGAAGAAGAAAATCTGTTGTAATTTAAAAAATTTCAACAGGCATGGATTTTATTCCAGTATGTCTTTCCTTACTTCAGACACTAAGTATATTAATTGTCTTTATTTTTAGAAATTGTTTGACAAGGTTGGTTCCCAGGGGTGAATACCAGGCCACTGTTCACGTTACACTTTTCTGTTTTAAACTTTGTATAGCAGTCTGTCTATAGCTACCTTTCAATATGTTAATATTAAACTCTAGATTTGATTTTAATTATGTGTATATGGGGGCAGCCGTATGTGCATGAGGGTGTTGGATTTCCTGGAGCTGGAGTTACAGGTGGTTATTAGCTCCCTGACATAGGTAATGGGGTCCTCTGCAAGAGAACTGTGTGCCCTTGACCACCAGAACATATATCCAGCCACTTAATATTAAAATAGCAGTGAGGATCAGTGTTCCTTCTCTTAGGAAGATAGCCCCAGCTCACTGTTTTCATTGGATTAATTTTCCCCAATAAACTGAAAATATCTTAATGTTCAATTTTTATTAAGATAATATATGGTATCAAATAGGAGAAACTTTTGAAATAATACTTCTAGTGGTAAAACCTAACTTATGAAACTTGAATATCTCAAATACCCAAGTGTTACCATGTAATGGAAACAGAGGCAGTCACAGAATTCAAAACACAATCACAAAAGGAAGTATTGTATTTATTGAGAAGCAAAAACATACCACCACCAGAACCGCTCGCTGCCTCCCATAGGCTGCTCATTTAGTCTTTAGCTGAGAATTGCATCCTTTTCTCGTTTCTTGTTCTTTATAGACAGTGTGCATCCTTTCAGGTGTGTGCAGGGCAGGTTCTGTGTATGGCATGAACGTGTGTGATGCAACTGGACTCCACAAGCGGCTTTGAATGGCACTGGTTTTCCTTTTTCTTAGGCACACAACAGCAGTGAACATTTAACACTGTTTTGGAAAACCTCTATTATAACCCTCATTTCTGTAAAGAAGACTTCTGGTACAGCAGCAGCAGGCTCTGCCTTTTGTGTTCACACACTGCGGCCCAGGTTATTGGCTGTTTAAAACACACACATCCATACAGGATGACGTCATACACTGATTGTGGAAGATCAGTTCTGTTGCCATTGGAAATGACTTAGCATGATAAATCATATAGCTTGCACATGTGTTTATGTATGTATGTGTTATCTCGTCACATACACACGTACGTTTCTTGTTCTGCACATTTAACTGTGGGAGAGCTTCAAAAGATTGCTGCTGGTTAAGAAAGACTCTTTCCTGGCAAATTGTTAAATCTTTATGTATCCCCTGTACTTTAAACTCTTCATGGATAATCCATGGAGTATGTAGAAACACTGATAGCCTGGAGCACTCACTGCAGTTCCCTGTCTGCACACTAGATGTCAGCTTGACCTTGCTGTGTCCTTGACAGTTAACCAGCTTTTGTAGATGAAAGGAAATATCTGAGTCTTCTATAATCCAAAAGGTTAAACTTAAACATAGAGAGTGCTGAATGTATCCTGTGTTTTTTTTTTTTCTCCTCTTTGGGAAACTGCCTATTAATATAAGGCTTTTAAAACCAAACATAATTGCATGTCTTTCAGGAGGTATCTGAAGAGATTATAGGATCACCCATCCCAGAACCTAGACAGCGCTCAAGACTTTTAAGATCGCAATCAGAAAGTTCTGATGAAGTTACAGAGTTAGACCTTTCACACGGGAAAAAGGACGCGTTTGTTTTAGAGGTGAGATGTTGTTAGAATAATGTTCTAAAAGTCTGAGAGGACGAACACTTTATAATTGAATTCTAACCTTGCACCGTAAGTCCTATAAGTACCAGGGAGAGTGTAGAGATCACAGGCATGAAGCTAGCCCTGGGTAACTGATGCCGTAAGGTACGTAGCTCTGAAGCCACCTGGGTTGAAATAATAGTAAAAGGCAAGGTGAGCAACCATCTTCAATAATTTAAATCTGAATTGCCAAGAAATTCCAAATTTGGGGGCTGGGTATGTAGCTCATTTGGTAGATGCTTCCCTGGCATCCCTGAGGCCATGTGCATGGTCCCCAGCACTGTGGAAACTGGACGTGGGGCTTCAGTCTGTAATCCTGGCACTCCAGACTGGATAGTGAGTTTAAGGCCAGCTAGGACTACATGGGACCCTGTTCCCCATCCCCTGCCCCCCGAAAAGAAGAAAATTAGAAAGTTCATGTTAATGTTAAAAATTGTGAATTTTTGAGCATTTTAGTCTTTTGAGTTTAGGAGTAGGAATGTTCAACCCTTTAAATCTGTAGCTGTCAGAGTCTGGAACACTGGAATCTGAAGGGTTTCATTCCCAGCATTCTGGGGAAAGTTCACTCACCTATAATAGTAAACATTGAGGGGTATTTTGTGTTAACTTGAATGACTTTAAATCAGAAAATGTACTGTCTTTTACAACACAATTATTACTGTTTATGATCATATTTGGTAAGTATTGCTATATGCAGTATTAATAATCTGTTTGAATACTGAGTACTGTGTGTTCTTGTTGAGTGCAGGAGATACTCTTGACAGTCCTTATCAAGACACTTAGAGCATTTAAACTCCTTTCCCAGAGACTGGCTGGCCATAGACCGGTGCTCAGCAGTTCACTGTTTTGAGATCAGCGTCCCTTGCCCTTCCTGAGAGTAGCTTTCGGAGAGACAGGAGAGCTTTTTACTATAGAAGGGAAGGAAATGAATGACATACATGTGTTGTGAGAAAACATGAGCGAGTGGAGTGTGGTGCTTTTACCCCGTGAGTCTGAAAGGCGGGCGTGGAGTTGTGTTGGGGTGAGATTAGAGACGGGAATCCCAAACAGTGCCTTGGGCTGTCCTAGGGTGTCACCCATGAGAGAGGGAGCAATTAAAGTAAGAGAGGGTCTTTGTTGTGTTTAAGCTTTATTCATTTGTTTTTATTCATGTATATCTGTGTACACCTTCATGAGTTTTTGCAGGTGCCCCGAGGACAGAGAGATCTAGTTCCCAGATCGGGAGTTACAGGGTTTGTTATGAATCACCCAGCATGGAAGCTCTATCTTCTCCATGAGCAGTATGTGCTCCTAACTGCTGAGCTACCCCTCTGGCCCTGAGATGAGTTTTCATGTGCAGAGGTGGTAGTGTGTTCTTCATTGTTCTGCGGTGTGAGATGGAGAAAAGAGAGGCAGTGGAGGAGCAGTGTGGCTCAAAGAAGTCACAGACTCTGAGGCTGCCATTTCGGGCTGCTGTGAGTGTGTCTCAGTCTGGGTCCTGGGAAGAGCAACAAGCACTCTGAGCCATATCTCAAGCCCCCATGTTAAATGCATTGGCAGGGGAAATGACTTGCATTTTCTTAGTTCTTAAATCTGCTTTTCAGACAATGGAAGTAACTTTAAGCGATCAGGAGAGCTTCCATGTTCAAGGGTTGCATGGTAGTTTTATCTTTGTGTTTCTAGATCGACGACACTGATGCCATGGAAGACGTGCACTCCCTCCTTACTGATGTTCCCCCTCCTTCAGGTATGCAGCAAGCTGGCACTGAGATAAAGCCTGCGTGCATCAGTGTTCTGATTCCTGTTTGTGAGAGGGTTGGTGTTCTGTTTAGTTACTTAGTGATTCAATCATTTATTGTTTTAGAAATGGGTCTAATGTATCTCAGGCTGGCATTGAACTCAGTATGTAGTCAAAAGTAATGCAAGCTTTATATTTAGATTTTATTGTTGAGAACTGTCATTTCTAAAACCATAATCAGTCAAATATCACAATTTCATTATAATATGTTTTGGCAGGTTTTTATAGTTGTAATACAGAAATTATGCCTGGCATAAATAATTGGACATCGGAAATACAGGTAAAAGTTTTTATTAATTTGAAACAAATACCATACACATTATAAGGAATGAATACCTTCACTTTAATACCTCCTTTTTTTTGATCCCTGGTAGCAATTGCAAACACAGTCCTTTTTAATTTCATTAGTTATTCATTATTTGCCACTTTCACCAATTATTAGACTGTTAGGAAAATAATGCCAAGATATGTTGCTCTGTCTCCTGCCTCTAGATGTTCACATCGGTAAGAGTGGTCAGACTGAGCAGCCTCAACCTGACTAACCAAGCTCTCAATAAGAACTTCAATGGCCTGTGTGAGAACTTGCTCAAGGTAGGAGCCTGCCACTCAGAACCTAGGTTAACTGGGCCAGTCTCCTTTGTCCCTAGTGCCTCGCATGCCTGGATGTGACCTGTCAGTCTCTCCTGTGCCGCCACCACCATGCGGCACTAGCTTGTCCTCACTCTCCTAAAAGACAGTGTTATGAAAGAAGGTATTTAATTTAGTAGCTTAACTTTCATAAAAGTCTAGTCCATCTGGAGAATGATTTTAAGAACCTGAGTTGTTGACAAACATTAAACCTTTATTGCTGCGTGTTCCTGGCATAGAGTGGCGGGTTTCATAAAGTTGTGTTAGTTCATTACGGTATATGCTGTGACTGTGCTCCCCTCAGTCCCCTTCCTTCCAAGGTAGTCCTGCCTGTTACTCTGTGTCCTCTGTGTTTGCATGATCACGTGCTGTAAGGACTCAACCTTTACTGTCAGCCAGTCACTATCACTGTACTCTCACAGAGAAGGGGCCAGTTTCCCTTTCCTTTCTCGGTCTTCATCTTTTGAGATGTAATGTCCCTGCACAGAATTAACTCCATGAATTCATTACCTTGAAGTGAAGAGTTCAGTCACCAGTCCTCTCTTTCATGCAGAGCTTGTATTTCAAACTCCGATCAATGACCCCCTGCTGCCTGTGCCATGTGAACTTTACAGTGTCTCTGCCCGAAGACGAGTTAATCCAGGTAACTTTGAAGGCGCCATTGATCATAGAAGAGGCTTCTCGCCCTCCTGATCTGCTTTAGTTTAATGTTACCATAAATTAAGTAACTTGGCACAATGTTTTAACTCAGGCTGTCTGAAGTTGTATGCTAGCATTCGAGTCAGGCTGTGTGTTTAAGTTTTCTTACTGCTGGTTATCTGCAGGGTATTCACGTGTGTCCACCCACTGAGGACACAGCAAACAGAATGGGGCTCATTGTTCGTGGTTTTAACAGTTCCTGTCTTTCAGAGGAGACTCTTTGGGAAATGTCTAGGTTTAGCTCTACACATTACACATCTGAGTTTATGTAGAATTCCTTCCGGTTGAGAGTCTTAATCAGGAAGGGCACACTAGTCAGTTGATACAGTTGTCCCATGGTGCTGTAACAAATTGTAAGAAATTTGATTTTATTAGTGATTGTTTTGCTAAATATGATTGTCTCTATAATTCTAGGTTACAGTCACAGCAGTTGCAATAACTTTTGATAAAAACCAGGCCTTACAGACCACAAAAGCCCATGTTGAAAAGTCACTACAGAGAGGTAAATTTTCAAGTCTAGGAAGTAAAGTTCACATTTGTGTGTAACAGCTGTGTGGGAGGTTCTTAGGTTTAAAACTGGAACAGTAGATGGCTTCTGAGTAACTGCTGGTGTGTGTTTTCCTCTCAAGCCTCTACAGATAACGAAGACCTGCTGCAGTTCCCGCTGGAGCTCTGCTCAGACTCCCTGCCTTCCCATGCTTTCTCAGCCACTAAAGGTTGGTCAAGTAGGGGACACTAATGGCAGGGTCACTAGAGTCAGCCAAGGATCTGTTCTTCATCTGTCACTGTGTGTTTTCCATACGCGTAAATGGGGGAAATGGTGTTCTTTCTTTACTTTGTGAAGTTATAAACTGTGAAGGTCATTTTTGCTATGTTCCAACCTTTTACCTCAGTTATACTTAAGTTTTACTTTTGAAGATTTGAATTTCCCAGGGTAAATATTTACATATAGTGTATTTGGTATTTCATCTGGTAAGTTTTCTTCTAGTTGAAGTTTTTAAACATTTTTGGATTTTCCTATACTCTCTGGGGGGATGTTCTGGTTAGCCATGAATGTTTCCATCTTTTATACAATGGCTGTAATTGAAGGACATTGTTTTTATAAGAAACTGACAGTTTTTCAAATACAAAATAATTTCCCTTTAGTGGGAAAACTCTTTTGACTTCTACAGTCTGTAGAAAATAATGGGAGGGTTGCTTCTTTTTTTTACTTCTCTTTTTGTTTTAGTATAATTTTTATTTTAACTTCTCAAAACTGTTGTATATAATCTTATAGTACATATTCAGTAAACATAGGTTGTATTTTTTTCCTACAGTTTTTAATTGAGAAATAATTGATTTGTTATTTAAAGTAAAATTAGTTACTATAATCACAACACTTGAAATTGTTTCTATCTATGAATACTTTTATTTGATAACAAATTATGTATAAAACTGTGTGCGTGTGTGCGCGAGTGTGCTTGCTCACTAAATTAGTCAGTGCAAGGCCTGTCTCTCCCTGTAGGAATGTATGTTTACCTCATAGTCCATAGGTTTGAAGAGATAAGCCATGTTCATATTCTGAACCTCCTCACCTGGTAACTTTGGTTATCTTTCTTGTGTCACTAGTAAAATTCCAGTTTAATTTAGGACTTGTACAAAAAGTCTTCACATTCCTTAATTTCCTCGGAAGAATAAAGAGGAAATCCAACTCAAAGGTTCTGAGTAAAAGTAGTTTCTGGGGAAGAAAATATTATTGTTGATAATCTTTTTGAGGGGCCTGATGAAATGGCTCAGAGGTTAAGGGCATTTAACCTCTTGTAGAGGACCAGGTTTGGTACCCAGCATCCAGATGGCAGCTCACAACTGTCTATAGCTAGTTTCAGAGGATTTGATGCCCTCTTCTGGCCTCTTTGCTTATCAGGTACACATACTCAGCATAGACATACATGCAGGCAGAATACTCATACACATATAATAAGTGTTAAAAAAATGTTGAGATCCTTAGGTGCCACTCTTTTTAGGGATGAAAAGAGAAACTTCTGCATGAGGAACCACCCCTAAAACCTAATTAGTAAAAGTTTACTCTGTTGCCAATCTACAAGAGCATATGTTGTTGGGGTACATATTAGCTGACTTTTTACCATGCTGTCATTGCTGACTGGATGCCACAGAAGATTAGGATAAGTTTGTAGGTTTGCCTTGTCCATAATGATGGCCTCCAGAATGTTACAGGGTCAATTACAACTACTGCTTATGTGGTCAATATTAATGAAATGGTATTTTGTGAACTAAAGAACAAAGGAAGAATAGTTTAAATAGAATGTCTCTTGTGAACTGCCCCAAGTGTTTACAGCTCATTTTAAAAGGCTGCATGAGGGGCCTGAGGTGGAGGGAAAGAGAAATGCCTGTCTGCAGTGCTGCCGCTGAGCAGGTGTACAGGTCGGCTCACTACAGACCTCTGTCAGCCTTGGCTTCTCATGTCAGAAATCTGAAAAGTTTTATATTTCCTTTTAGCCTTGAAATTAAGTTAAGTTTTTAAAATTCTTTGAGATTCTGTTTCGTGGTTCTGTGAGTGTTATCATGTCTGTGTTGGAGTGGCACCCATCTTTAATCCCAGTACTTGAGAGACAGAAGTAGGCAAATCTCTTGAGTTTGAGTCAAGCCTGGTCTACAGGACAGCCAGGACTACACAGAGAAACCCTGCTTCAAGGAGAAAAAAAAGTAAATCAAATGTTGAATTCATGCTCAAGGCCAGAGAACTCTCATAATTAGCAGTGTTTCCAAGAAACTCCAGTTAGTAAAGCCAGCAAGCGAAGTTCTTCTCTAAGGTCTACATCTTTCAGAGCAGACCTGGGGTGAGGGGTGCGGACTGGAGGGTGTACAGTGAGATCTGCCAGTCCATGGTTACAACATTGGCTTTCCAGATAGGACTTGAGAAAGGTTTCTCATGTCTGAACCCTTTGGAAACCATTGAGGCACACACACCACATCACCTTATTGCCATCCTAACGTCAAAACCACTTTCTTTATTAATGTACGTAAGACCGTGTGCCGCCCACCGCTCCATGCAGAGCACCTGACTCTCCTGGAACGGGAAAGCCTCCAGTGAGTACTCAAGTCTGTCTGTCCCTTTCATGCATACTTCTGGCTTGTGTTGCATGTCTAGACTATCTTTACTCCCTCCATCTTTTCAGGAGGACACGGCTTAACTATGTCTTTAAAAGTTATTTCAAGGTAACTTGAGGGTAAGGTGGGTTGTCAAGGTCTGAAGACTAGACCAGTGGTCTTACAACATGAGTGGGGTGTCTGTGTACTGTACCGTGACAGTGGTGGCTAGAAATAGAAAGTATGTGAGGATCTAAGTGTAGCAGGTTGGTTAGGAGGAATGCCCAGGCACTAGCTGCCCCCCTCACCCCTGACTTGTACTTTCCATTCATGTTCTTAAAAGAGGGGTGAGGGGGATTTGTTACTTACCTCTTCTTACGTTGACAGGGAGAGTGGTTTGAAGAGCCAAGAATAGGATGTTTATTAACAGTTGCATCTTTGCGTTTACATAACTGTCAGTATTCTCTTGTAATCAATAAGGATAAACGTTATGTGCTGCTCTATGTTGCTTGTGTCTGTCCTAGTCCACCGTGTAGAGTAAACCAGGCTCTGAATTGTCTGGCCATGGTCAGTTTTCCCTTTCATGATGAATTTGATTTTGTTTTTCAAAGCAGTAAAACTGTATTGGCCTCAGATTTCTCAAGATGACTGTGTCATCTTGATAGTCGCTTAGATTGGTTTTCTGTGGAAATATTGAAAGGTGCTGATTCAGTCATTTCTTAGACTGTCATGTGAAGGCTGTCGGGATTTTAGGAGGCACAGGGATGGTATGGTATCATGGAGCTTTTCTTGGGAGGCAGGGCTGTAACAAAGCATGACCAGTACCAATTCTACACTGTCATGAGTGCTTAGTCTCAGCAGTACTAACATGTCAGCTTTTTCTGCACTTTTGAAAAGTACTTTAAAATGATACAATATAGAGAGAGATAAATATAGTATAAAAAAAAAGGAGAATCTAAGTGAAGCTATTCTGGGCAAAAAACTTCAAAAATGAGGTTTTTTTTTTCTCATAGAATGTGGATGAGTTCAATAATTTTGTGCTTTAATGTTTGTAAAAGGTTAATACTACTTTAAAATTTGAAGTATACATACGTACATATTTAAAATATACATACATACAGTGGTGGCACATGTCTTAAATCCCAGCACTTAGAGGCAAAGGCAGGAGAATTTCTATGAGTTCAAGGCCATCCTGGCTTACAGATCAAGTTCCAGGACAGCTAAGGCTACACAGAGAAACCCTATCTCGAAAAACAAAAAATTAAAAACAAAACAAAAAACTGAAGACATAGATCTTGAAATATTACAGTGATGTGATGTACTAAAGCATATACTACTTTAAATATATCTCAAATATTCTACATATATACTCTATTCTATCATTTGATAGTTTAATATGATGGAGAGTTTAATTAGGATAACTTAGTTTTTATTGGACCTTTCCATGCACTCCTGTTCCCCATCCCTATGCTCTCTGTGCTTGCTTAGTCCTTCCTGCTCAGTAGTGGGTACTGCAGCCTGGCGGGGGACTCTATCTAATCAGCCACTGACTGTGGCAGCCAGCATGGAAGTCTGCAAACATTAGCTTTTATTTTTCCTACAAATGACTGTTTCTGAATTCTTAACTGTATATGGTTGCTCTTTATACTACTACAAATACCTTTATATAGTAATAGTCTTTCGCATATCTGCTATATCTGCTTCTTAAAAACTGTATATTTTGTAATTGTGATCAAAATGGTGACAGCAATAAAAAAAAATCTGTAAATGGTCTTCATATAGTTGGATGGCCAAAGCAATGGCAGGGGAGAGATGCTATGGGGTAGAGAATGAGGACTATGAAAACGAAAGAGAGACAAACCAGGAGGGATTGGGAGGCTGAGGCAGGCCCACCACCCACCTGGGATGTGTGAGACCCTTTCTCAAAAACAAACAAGTAAATGAATGAAGCATAATCCACAGTAGGTACAGGGGTCCAGCTCATCCAAGAGATGGGATGGGAGCGAGGGGCTTAATCAATGAGAGCAGGGGTAGGGTAGCTTTCCTCTAAATGTCGTCAGGCAGGTAGAGGACACAGAGATGCAGAGGAGGCTGGGGAATGCAAAGCAAAGAAAAAGACCCAGACTGTTAAGGAGAGAAGTAACATTATTTAGAAGGAAGACATAAAGCACGATCTTAAGAAGAATAGATACCCAGAAGTGGGTGCAGGACTATGACAGGGAATATTCACAAAGAAGAAAATAGTGTAGGATGTTAGTCTTTAGCTGCAGTATGGGATCCACATGGAAATTCATTGTATGTTACTGAGTTTATACATTACTGATATCTTACTTTTGGTTTTCCATGGCAAACTATTCAAATTGAAGTTTTTATTTCTATCTTTATGGCCTTAATAATTTACAACTCTTATATGGCAATTTCTCTATCAGTTCATCCAAATCTAAGTAGCATCATGGATAGGTTTATATCTACCTTTAGCTCATCATTAACACAATCATTAAGCTAGCTTTTTATATATAATCTATATCCAATCATTTATTATATTGATAAAAATGCCTGAAGGAATGTAAAAACTCAGTTGTGATCATAGTAACTTAAAACTTTGAATGTTTAAATGGGAAAATAATAAAAATTAAAGACTTTAGGCTGTATATCTTTCAATCTACAAGAGAATATTATTTGTAGGAATTTTTAAGACAATAATTTTTAAAAATGTTCCCTCTGGAAATATTTATAGCAAATATGATTGATGAGTTGTAATGATGAGAAGTAAAAAGTCGCTACAGTTAGTGATTTGTATTACAGCAGTCTTTTTGTCCAGTGTAGATGAAGGGTTCTCATCCCACCTGCCAAATAGCCACTATAAGGTTCAATATTAGTTATAAACTGTTTGGCCTATTGCTCATGCTTATTACTAACAACTTAAATTCACCCACAATTCTTATCTTTGTTTAGCTACATGGCTTGGTACCTTTTCTCAGTCTTTACTGTATATATCTTTTTCTGACCACATGAGTCTTTTAATCTGCCAAACTGCATGGCTAGGATTAAAGCAGCTGCTGGCTCCTCCCCATTCCTTGGCTTCCTAAGAGTCTAGATTCGTGGTGGAGACACTGGTGTAAGATATGTTTATTGCCACAACTCTACAGAGTTTCCCTGCTGGAGACACTGGTGTAAGATATGTTTATTGCCACAACTCTACAGAGTTTCTAGGTCCATGTCATCACCAAGAAGCGTGCCACTGGCTGCTCATAAAACACCGTTTAATTGTTTGGTAGCGGGGCCTCTTAAAAGAGCCTTCTGTTTTTTGCTGCTAACACTGATCAGGAAGCCTCTCTTAAAGGAGCCGAGCCTCTGCTTGTCACTGGCAAACAGAGCCCACCCGAGAAAATGCTGCTGCCAAGAAGCCATGCTTAACTCTGTTCTTTTGTGTTTAGAATCCCTTTTTAAGCTTTTGTCAGGTTTTACATGGAAATTCTTGCCAAATGTTTGGGCACCACATGTTGATGGAAGTTTCTGTCCTGCCTGATCTTCAAGCCGTTCAGTCCCAAATAAACTGTATGGCCCATTGCCCAGGCTTATTATTAACAAACTCTTACAACTTAAATTAACCCATAATTCTTATCTATGTTTAGCCACGTGACTTGGTACCTTTTCTCGGTGAGGCATTCTCATCTTGCTTCCTCTACGTCTGGCTGGCAGCTGTGTCTCTGTCTTCCTCTTCCCAGAATTCTCCTAGTCTGGTAGCCCCACCTATACTTCCTGCCTGGCTACTGGCCAATCAGCGTTTTATTAAACCAAGGCTCCTTGAACATTGAAGAATGTCTGTGATTCAAAACTATTGAAGCTAAGGAATAAAGACCCCTTTATAAGCGTTTAGGAGGAGACTGTTCATTTCAGACAGCGATGTGTACACTATAAAAATCATGTAGTCAAAAATAAAGTTGTATTGTCCTTCTCAAAAGCATGTACTCTTATTAGCTTATTATCTGTAGAAAAGTGTAATTTTTATTTATGTTTTTGAGGTAGGATTTCATGTAGCCCAGACTGACTGTGCTCACTACATAGCTGAGGGTGACGTCACACTAATCTGCTAACCCCTCTTCCAAAATGCCAGGTTACAAGTTGCACCCAAATGCTTGGCTCAGTATTTTGTTTTTTACAAGCACCATTTTCATATTGCTTTATACCATGTCCTTTCCATTTGGCACAGTTTAGTGTCGCCATTAAATCACATACAGCAATACTGAGTTACGGAAGAGAATTTATTCATTTTAATGTTTTCTAAAATGATTTTAGCCATTCCTTCTTGCTCCTGGAAAAAAAAAAACTTCATAAGATGCCTAATCTTGAACTATTTATATATTCTCTCTCTCTCTCCCTCTCCCTCTCTCTCTCTCTCTCTCTCTCTTTCTCTCTCTCTCTCTCTCTCTCTCTCTGCCTCCCTCTCTCTCTCTTTCTCTCTCTCTCTCTTTTCTCCTGTCTGTTGGTGGAGATCAAGTCCCAGAGCCCGTGCAGCCTAGACAGGCAGTCTACTATGACACTATAGTGCCCTAACTCTTTGTTTTTGAGACAACCTTGAACTCCTGCCTCTACCTTCCAAGTTGGTAGGTAGGTGTTCGTCATCACACCCAGCTCAGCTGTACTTTCTGTAGTGTATACTCATGGAGTCTATCCTGCTCAGCAGTGACCCCAGAGAACCCTGGAAACCTAAGCCTGGAGCAGGCTGCTTGTTCTCCATGTCTGCATGGAGTCCCTTCCTGTCCTGTGGTCTCTAGAGACTGTTAAGCCTCTGAATACATGTCGGGGCCTCCCTGCTTCTTGCTGTGTCCCCATCTCCTGAATCAGGAGGATTGTAGCAGTTAGGTATGTAGTCTGTGGACATGATGGTTGATGTTCAGACATGTCTGCAGCATGGTTCCTTCTCAGTCATCTGTGGCCTGCACCCAGTGATCCCATGTGTTAATCAACTCCACTACCAATACTGCAATACGGGTTAAGTACCTGCTGAGAGGGCTTCTCCAGTTATGAGAACGCTCTATGCAAATCATATCTTGAGTAGTTACATTTTATTAATCTGAAAATATTACCAAAAGATCAATACATTAGAGTTGGAAAATGTACTTAGTTGATACTTCAAAAACAAAAACAAAAAACTGGTTGTCCCAAATAATTCTTAGTGTTTCTAATGAGCTATTTTTTTTTCAGCTTTACAATTCCTTGAAATGAAACTATAAATATTCTAATACAGAGAGAGCATGAACACCAAAAATATATTGACTTTAAAAATATTTAAATGTGTACATTATATATATTTTACATTCACACAATATATGTATACAATATAGTACTATTATATTCACACAATATGCACAACAAATACCTGCCTGGATGCTACTCTCCAGGCTGCTAGGAATCCTGAGTGTGACTCTGTTTGTGAGAGTCTGGGTTTCCCAGCCATCTCTCTGGAGGTCTGTCAGTTACCCTTGAGTACCACACAGTCTCACTACACCAGAGGAATTGTTGATGTAGTCAGGTGGAGGTTGGAGGTGAGGAGGGCCACGGCTAGGGAGTGGGATTGATGTGTGGAGCATGGGTGTGTGCACTTTCTCTCACCCTCCCCTAAAACATTGCCCTCCCCCACACACTGCCCCCGTCTTCTGCCCAGTCTTCTTACCTTGTGCCATCATTACACTAGCATGCTACTTGCTGTTTGTATTATCTCCAGAAACTCACTTTGTGCCCTAGCAAGCAACCGTCTTGGCATGGTGTTAATTAATGGGGCTAGTTCTTAGGTAAAGGAACTGCATTTTAAATCCTAATGTTTGTGTTTGTTTTGCCTTTGTAATGAAGCCATAAGGATTTACTTATTCTGTTCTTTGGACTCACAGAAGACATTAACTATCAGTGGGGAAGGGGCGCTGGCTTGTGCTTGGCGTCTGAGCTAATGCTGTTCGTATTGTCTTACTAGAACACCTGGAGAGTGCGAGTTCTAACTCAGGTACACCAGCTGCACAGAGAGGTGAGTTTGCATAACTAAGCACAGTCGCCATACTTGTGGAGTTGTAGCTCAGTAGACGTACAATTACAGGCATAGGAATGTACTGGACAGTGAATAGACCCCAGATACAGCTTTATTGGATTTATGTTTTAAAAATTCATTATTTACTTTGTTATTAGTTTTTTAATAGTTTTCCTAGTTTCTAAAGTTTTAGCTCTTTAACGTTTTATAAATGGTAGCAGTGTAAAAGTTACTGTTCATAGAAGAGATGCTAGCTGTCCCCCACCCCCCCAATCTTATCAGAGGCCTTGTAGCCGGAAATCAGACCTGGAAGCAGAACACTGACAACAATACCCCTTTGGTTTTCTTGCCGGTTTGGTAGCTGGGTTGTTGAAGATAGAAAGAAGACACTTCAGTAAGAAATAGGTCAGCTAGTGAGGTAGTGGGGGTTTTGTTGTTGTTGTTGTTGTTTTTGTTTTCCCCTGCAAGTATTTTCAACGCTCAATTCATTTTTACTTTTGATTTTTGGCTAAAGTAGGGAAGGGGATTACTCATGAGGGGTTGATTATAAATTGGATTATAAATTAAAATCAAATAGAAGCAACGAAACTCTTAGAAGGAGGAGAGTGGGAACAACTGAGCAGTCTGTCCTCTGCTCACGCGTCAGGTGGATGCTCCTAGCCCTCCACCAGCCAGCCTTACTGGGTTTGGACACTTGAATGTCTAAC